TAAAGACATTTCAATTATTGGAAAAAACTGCATTGGGGAAAATGAAAAAAAAAAAGTCTAATCAACCAAAATTTTCGCAACCCCCATGCAGTACCTCTGTGGACTCCCAGGGGTCATGGACCCCCGTTGAATGTCTGTAGAGTTGCTGCAGAGACCCACAGTCTGACCCACTCCCAGCTAACGTGTGCAAAAATAATAGATGTGGCAGAAAGCTAATAATGATCGTCACCTGAAACTTATTATCCCCCATGTGAAACACAGTGGTGGTAGCATCATGCTGCGGAGATGCTTGTCTCCATCAAGGATGGAAAAGCTGGATAGTTGATTGAAAAATGGATGGTTGCATCTCGGTTCTGGAAGGAAACCTTTTAAAGACCACGATTTGCAGAGGTTAATCGTTCTGTTCAAACCTGCCTGTATATAACCCTCATTACTGACTGCACATTAACATCATGTTGTTACTTCATAAACTGTGAAAAATGCTGCGATATACACAGCGATATGGCAGCTGACACATTAAAGCACCTGTCCTAAGGTAGAGAAAGAAAAAAAACTACCTTCCATATCTCCTCCTCGCTCAGAGAGGTGAGGCGGTCACTTTTCAGCACCTCCCTGAGGAGGCGGTAGGGCAGCTGCAGGGCTTCGTCTTGTCGGCTCTGGCTCAGCTCAGACAGATGTTCCACCAGGAAAGCCACCACAGCCTCCTCCAAGGCAGGGAGATGGAAGAGGTCGGCCACACGGTACAGCTCCAGGTAGTTCACACTGCTTAGCTCCTGCAGGATGATCATAATGTTAAAGAAAGCGTCCGTTAAAATACTGTGTGCATTTTGGTAAACTGTGATGGTATAGCAACAGTAAGGGAAGATGAGACAACACTGCCATCTTCTGGCTGTTGTTAGACATACGATGGAAGTCCTACTTCTACAGAGAAAAAGCTTAAATCAAAATCACAATATGTTCTTTAAGCTGCACCTGGGTTCTGTTATTTTTACTTGACTTTACAATAAACCAGGGGTAACCGATTAAAAATCTGCAGGGTCTGAATAAAGAAAATCAACAACCAGTAAAGGTCCAGAGACATTTTTAATATTATAATCTGTTACTTTAAACATAATTTAACACTGAAATAAAATTAGGTTTTATGCATCCATGTTATACATTGACTTAAAAAAAAAGAAAGAAAATTTTTCCATTTTAAAATCTAAAGTGTTTTTTGAAATAAAGAACAACAAGCTTTCAGTTTGGTATATAGACAATTTCCTGATTCACATATTTTATAAAACACCTGAACTGACCATTCGTTTTTTTTTTCTTTATTTT